GTATTTGGTTTTGTTGATATAATAGCCGCCAAACCCTATGTACCGAAACACACCGCCCACCAAATGAAACATGAAAATCCGATTCCGGGCTAACCGTTTCACACCGTCCCACATGCCTGTGCGCACACATACAATAGGGTAATAGTGTTAATTTTAAATGTCATCTAGATTTTATTACGCGCATACCTCTAAGTCCTGTGATATCATGCTCCTTGAGATCCTTGGCCTTGACCGAGGCCGTTTTTAGTTGTTTTGGGAATAAAAACATTGGCAAGGTGAATATTAACAACAATACGCCTATAAATACAAAGCCAATCCACCATGCGCCGATAAACCTGGGATCGCGACGAGTTATGCCTGGGTCGTCTTAAAAGCAATGGCGTAAAACTTAGGGTTAGTTATGTTTAGTTAACATGTATTATATTTTTAAAAAGTAAATTAAATTCTAAAACCATATCAACAAGGTACTATTTTTTGTGTGTCATTTAAATTATAGATGATAATATTATTAAAAATTAAAATCCAATATAAATAATACATACAAAAGGGATTCTCATAGAAACGCAACGACAGGGACGACATGAGAAAACCCATGGCCGGGCCAATGAGCCGAAGCGCTGTCAACCCGCTAATGAACATGGGTGAATTATTTTTGCTCACACTATCATCGATGTAAGGCATGCCTATAACCCAATAGGCGGTGTAGCCGAGACCCCGGAAAGCGCTGCCTATTAAAAAAATTACAACCGCTGGCCAAACCGTCGAGTGTCGACCCGTAGAGCAGTCTATGTCGTTATGGTTTATGGGGCACATCTCATACCGGGTGCCGTTAATGGGCACCGAGTGGTCACCGACTTGTGTGTCCCGGTGCAGGAGGTGAGTGCCCGCACCGTATATGAAATAGGGTAATGCGTTTATTAGGCACGACAGGGCCAGGACGAGTTCGCCGGTGGCTATCATACGGGGCCGATTAAAACGGTTGCCCAGGTAGCCCACAATCGGACTTACCTAGATACGTATTAACATTTATTTTAATTAAATTAGTTTATTTAAATATGTGTTTATAGATTATAATTATAATTTATGTTTTAAGTTATGTTTGTTTTTAAAATCAAAATAGGTATTTAAAAAATAACACATTTTTATTTACTATTTTACAATAATCTTAACCACCGTGACAATAAATGCTATTATTTCTAATTTAATGCCTAAAAATAAATTGTAATTTAAGTGATATAAAACATGTATAAATATTTTAAAAAATATAAATTTGTATTACTATGTTATGTATAATTAAAGTTATGTAAAATCCAACTTCACATCAATGTAAAATATTAAATATTAGTGTTATAAAAATAAAACAAATTAATTTTCACGTTTAATTAAAAATAAAATTAAATAACTAATACAGACCAGCATTTCTACCACGTTGTCGGCAATCAATATAAAACCAGCTATTTTTGAGTCAAAAGCGAACCGCTTTTCTAATGTACTGAACGAGGCTATCAAATAGGTTCCGGTCATACTCTGGACAATGCCTATGAGCGCGAAGTTGAGGGTAAAAAATGTGGGCGTGGCAAACCTCTGTAGCCATTGGGGTCGCCACGAGCCCAGTCCGCACTCAGTCAGCTCCGGGTCATTATCACTGTCCTGGCGCTCAAACTCGTTGTTTTCACTATAATTCTGGTCATTATCATCACTTCCGACGCCCACCTGTTGGTAGGCTTTGGACATAATATGCGAGTTTTATTTTTATATAGTTAAAAGTTTTAACTGTTTCATATAAAAATAATAAATACAACTTTCACTTTTATTCTAGAAATAAATTACAATTTTAAATAACTTATTTATTTACAAATCAATAATTAATACACAAGATCCATTTATAGTTTGTATAATTAAGTAGTTTTAATAATGATTTAATTAATTAACTATTTTTATTTATTAATAAATATTATTAAAATTAACAATTAAATACAATTTAAATGTTTATAACGTATATTTATAATTGAAATTGCAGTACAGTGTGGGCTAAATAAAATGCGATAACGTTGGTTGTCTACTTAACCATGGTTAGATTAGTAGCCTAAGCGACCACATTCCTGTACACCCTTTTACACAATGCTGTAAAGTCTACAATATTACATAGATTACTATTATTGCCTTTATACATAAAGTAAATGTTATCAGATTATCATAGTGTATACTGTATTAAGTTTGTTAGTCAATAAAAATATATTTATTGTAATATGCTGAAAAATTAAGTCACTAGAGTTAGATATAATATTACAACAAACAAAATTACATTAACACAGAATATTATTTGTTTTAAAATTTCAGTAAAAGTTTAATTAATTAGGCTAATTAATTGTTTAATATTTTAAAAATTATTTAGACTTTACCCTCATATATTATATCTATCCTACACCCACTCACACGTCCTACTAATGCAATTAATATACCTGTTGTAATTATTAAAACAATTTTTATCATGTGGTAAACTGTAATGAATTGATTGCAAAATGAATTTACAGTGAATATACTAAATCAGTAATTCTTTACATGATAAGTTATCATAAGAAATTCAATAGTATAAAAATATAATCCCGGTTTATTGTCTAATAAGACAGGCACTGATTTACTACAATGGTCGTACCGAAGTTGTACCAAGTTGTAATTCAAAATTATTTACATATATAATTAACTGAAAATTACCCAAATGCCAATTTCGTAAAACAATTATACTGTACATGTTATGTAAGTTTTCACAAAAAAAACTTGTAAAACATTATGATAATTTTGTGAACAATAAGTCAGTAACAATAGATAAAGTTCTTATTATTATAATCATGATGATTAACTTATGGACCATAAGTTATAGTACATAACAGTATGTTTACAACAAAAATGAATTACTAAAAAAATCCACTTACAATCAGAGGCGGGATTTATTTGAGCGACAAACTTACTATAATTTTTAAAAATTAAATAACAGCATTTATAAAAATATTACATCATTATTTAATAACAATAATGCTTCTATTTAATAAAATTAAATTATATTATCAATAATATAACAGACTTTATAAATTAATTAAATTAATATTTAGTTGCAAAGTTTCTACCTGGCTCAATATTATCCAGATTACAATCATTAACAATAACATCACTTTTATTATGGCTAATAGTGGTCATTGCCAATGACTCATTGGTGTAGTATTACCAGCAATACCGGTAGAGTGACCATCACTACCATTATCAGTAGAGGGTTCATCGTAAAAGTTTTTGATACGATTGGCCATAAAAATGACCACCAAATCGACCATGGCTCCCGTAAACATAAAACCAAATGCCACTCCATGTAAGTAATATCTAAACTTATCCTGGTTATATAGCCAACAGTTACCACGTTTACCGCACGTGCTCTCCCATACCAAACACGCAGAGTCTGTGATCGCACCGAATATTAATGGGTAGGGAATGAAGGCTAGGATTTATATGAAAATCAGATTGGTTTAATTAAGTTATGATTAATTTAATTATTAAATTGGTAATAATCAGTAAAAATTTAATACCAAATAACGATATAAATGTTGACATTATTCCTATCGCAAAACTCTTATCTTTCGGGTCAACTGATCTGTAAAAATGATTTAATAAATAAATTATAATTAAATACTTAAGCAGTAATAAACATAATAAAATTACCTTAATGTGATTAATAAAGAACCAGTCCGAGTGGTAGACGCTATCATTGAGCCTAACGAGATGATGGACAGGTAGGGCACAATTTTATTACAACTACTCACATCCCTTTTACAGTAACCAGTGATGGCCGCACCACCTCCCCCTCCTCCTTGATCACCTGAGCCAATACACGCGCACTCAGATAATGTCTGTAAATATTACATTATATAAAAATATGATAATTTTGTAAAAACAACCTTGTTTGGCCTGTCCAAATGGCCACACCCGGCAAAACAGGGAGAAAAATGAGTAGTCACGCCGTCCGCCGCGCAGATAGGGGTAAACAAACGTGTAGTACATTTACAGTGCTCATTGCATCCATAATCCATTGTGAACCTAATTAATTTACATATCAAATAACTAGTAAACTTGATTAAACCAAATAATGTTAAATGACAGATTCTTCAAATTACTCTCTATTGGTGACCCCATAGTTACCAATGTTGAGCGCCGGGCAGTTTATGTACATCGCGCCCAATATACCACTACTGGCCAAAAACTCAACCAAAACCATATAGATGACCAAGGACCGAGGGCGTGGCTTAATCCAAGTGATCGCAATGCCCCCGAGCATAATACCCACTGCCATAGCGGGCATGGATGTGGTGCCGGTGAGTAGTCCGGCGCCGGCACTGGTCTGATGAAAGTGGGACTCAATGTATTTACTTTTGAACATTTGGTAACCCCCGTTACCGATCCAGCGTAGAGTAGATGCTATCAAGTGAAGCACTATTATAGGATTATTGACCAGGCGTTTGATGGCAGCTATAGTGCCTATTAAGTGATTTAATTAATCAATTATCATCATTATTATTTTTATAACCATAGCATTAATTAGAGTTACCTTTTAAGCCCTTAGAATTGTCCTTCAGGTGCCGGGCCTTTACCGATGCATTTGTCAGTTGTTTTGGGAATAACAACATGGGCAGAGATGCGATAACCAACATGGTGCCAATAATAATAAATCCAAGCCACCATGCGCCAATAAAACGCGGATCTGTACGCGGTATACCTGGATTATCTATAAAATATGTATTTTTAAAATAAATCATTATTAAGTTAATACATAAAGACATGTTAATAAAAGAACAATATCATTTTTAAATACTTACATAGTGGATCTTCGTAATATCGCAACGTAAACGAGGTAAGTATGAAACCACAAGCCGGGCCAATCAAATTTATCGCCGATATGAATGATAAATAGATGGGTGAACTGCGTTTGGTAACAATATCGTCCATATAGGGTACTCCGATCACGTAATAGGCTGTAAAGCCCATTCCCTTCAAAGAGCAGCCCAAATATATGATCGCAACGGCCGGCCATACGGTCGAGTGCTTACCGCCCGAGCAGTCAGTGTTCTCGCCGTTTGCCGGACACAACTCGTATCGCGTTTCGTTGCGGCCGAGTGTTGACAGGAGGTTGTCGTCGTGCAAGAGGTGAGTGCCCGCGCCGTATATAAAGTATGGCAGAGCTGTTGTGAAGCACGACAGGGCCAGTGTCAGCTCACCCGCCGCTATCATTCGGGGCCGATTGAAACGACTGCCAAAGTAGCCTACTATTGGACTTATCTAAGAACATAGAAGTATTTAATCTAGAATCTAATTTAGAATTTAGATTTAGATTTAGATTTAGATCTAGATTCTAGATGTATTTAATACTACAATTGTATGTATGATAATTAATAAACCTTAATAATTAATATTGATTGCATAGTATCAAAATAAACTAACTATTATTTGCACAATATTATCGGCAATCATTAAAAAGCCGGCGATTTTTGAATCAAAAGCAAAGCGCTTCTCCAAAGTGCTCATTGAGGCGATCAGATAACTACCGGTCATGCCTTGGATTAGACCAATTAGGGTGAAATTGAATAGGAATACTGTCGGCCGGGCCAACACCTGTAGCCATTGTGGCCGCCACGAGACCACACCACATAGCGTCACCTCAGGGTCCATATCATCGGTGCCATTGTCTCCCCTGTGCTCACACTTGTTGCCCGATTGTTTGCCATCATGTTTAGTATCCCTAATATTTAAATAGGATTAAGTAATATTTTATTGATTTGGGTAGATAGATTGTAGTTTAAACACACAATAATGTAGTTAAGTATATAACTAGAGCTAATAAACAATTAGGGTTATTTTTCTGCTTTGTGCTGTAAATTGAATAATATTCAATAAATAAATATTATTTATCTAACAAATGTTTAAAATTAAAACACGATTATACTCTATGTTTAAATAAATTTATTAATATAATAATCTAATCATTTACTTATAGTAAATAACAATTAACTTACATTATATTGTTTATATTAAAACAGCTGACCAAATGTCCAGTTTTTTTTATTATGAATCGGGCGCTGATTGTCCAACAGTTTAATTAGTGTCAATCGTTTGAACCATAATTAAAAAATTATAACTTTACTAACAATTTACCAAACATTAAATAATATTACATGAATGGCATAAATATGAGCCCAAATTAAATATTGGATAACATAGTGTTAGTTAACATAAGTTTCCAATTTGTCTCACCTAGGGCAAAATATCAATTTAATTGTAGATTATAATATAATTTTTCTAATATATAGGTATAATAAAACAAAAACAGGAAATTTTAATAATAAGAATACATTAAATTTATTTACACAATATCTATCTGGCTCATTATTATCACGATCATAGTCACTAACAACAACATTGCAGTTATTATAGATAATAGTAGTCATCAGTAATCATAGTAATCAGTGTAATTGAGAATCAATTTTGTGATTAAAACAAACATTTATTTAATTAGATTTAGTTTTAAATTGACTTTTAAAACCTCAGAGAAGACATTAATCCCAAAAGTGATGATAAATATGAATCATATGAAATGAATGAGTGTTTATATGGTTTAAATTCAGGCTCGACAAACTCTCCATTTTAGTCACCTTAGCCACCTGCCACCCCTTCAAAGCATGCACTATCAAGGTGCAATTTTATAATGAACTTTTTGTAAAAAGTGGGTGAAGGTGACAAAATGGAGAAGTTTGTCTAGCCTGAGTTTAAATACTGACAATGATATCAATTATTAAATTAATCATAAAATTGAATTATATTTACAATTTATGTAATTTGAAAAATGGTTACATAGATTTTAAGTTTTAATTATAGTTTTCATAACTGATTAATAAAAAAAATTACTACAAAATCATTATTTATTAAATAACAAAATGAAAATCAACACAATTAGTGATTAAATGGATAGAAATTAAACAAACGATTCATTAATAATCGTATTTAAAACAGTATTAATCTATCAAACTATTAAAAACTATGGAAATTGGTTATTATAAAAATGACACTATTGCTAAATCATGGAAACTTTATTTATGCGATATGTTATAACAAAACTATTTATATTAATCACGTGACAATTGATTATCATTTCCATGCGTTTTAACATTCAATACATTCACTCATAGTTTTGAATCAACTCTTGTTTGCGGACACAAAGGCTTACGACGAAAGCACAGAGACATGGATTCACTGCCACTCAAGACGTTTGACATAAAATTGACAGACATTTGGGTCTCGACTCAGAAAGAGTTGATTGCAATGAAGGCTAAAATAATTGGATTAACTAATTGTTTGACTCAATCGGAAACAAATGCAAACCATTTGTTTAAAGCGAATGCACAGCTCATCCATAATATTAATCCGTTTGTCAATGAGATGCCGGCCATTAAGCCATACATTGATCTCTCAGTTGACGCACAAAACGCTATTCAACCAGAAATGGATCGTTTGAATGAAATGAAGGCATCAATGGTTACGACAAACGGTGGACAAAATGTCGAGCAATTGATCTACAATTGGAGACAATGCGTGACCACAAGAGACCAATGCATTCAAACTAATGATGAATACGAAGAGTCTATGAAGACATCCATTGAAATGAACGACAATTCTTTGACAAGCAATGAGACAATTGGCGAAGACTTGATTGACGTGAGCAGTGATGACAATTGCGAACCAATGATAACAACAGAAAATAGAGATTTAGAGACATTTGTTGACGAGAGAAGTGATGTCTGGAGTAGTGATCACTCAATGGATGTTAGTTTCAACTCAAAGGCCGTTACTATTGATGACAATAACCACTGCGAGAGTGAAATGTCGGCGAACACGACTGACTTCGACAGAAGTAGTGATGGTATCACTGATGGGACGCGTCAAACACGGGTCAGACCCGCGCCCAAGAGTTTGGCCACAATTAAGAGCCCATCTGTGAGACGACCGAAACGGCGATCAGCCGATGGGTTACACGCGTGCGATTGGCCGCAGTGTAAGTACACCACCAAAATCAGTCAAAATCTGGTCCATCACAAGAACGCGCACAACACTGTTAAGCCAT